ACTGTAAGATAATATAAAAAATAAAAAAAAAAAAAAAAAAAAATAAAAAAAAAAAAACAAAAAAAAAAAAAAAAAAAAAAAAAAAAAACCCAAAAAAAAAAAAATGTAATAAAAAAAAAAAAACAAAAAAAAAAAAAAAAAATAAAAAAAAAAAAAAAACAAAACAAAAATAAAAAAAAAAAAAAAAAAAAGAAAAAAAAAAAAAAAACAAAAAAAAAAACAAAAAAACAAAATAAAAAAAAAAAAAAAAAAAAAAAAAAAAAAAACAAAAAAAAACAAAAAAAATTAAATAAAAACAAAAAACAAAAAAAAAAAAAAAAAAACCACAAAAACACACAAAAAAACAACAACCAAACCACACCACAACACAAAAAAAAAAAAAAAAACCATTTATATCCCCCCCCCACCACCCCTTCACCCACCCCCCCCCCCCCCCCCCCCTCCCCCCCCCCCCCCCCCCCCCACCCCCCCCCCCCCCCCCCCCCCCCCCCTCCCCCCCCACCCCCCCCCCCCCCCCCCCCCCCCCCCCCCCCCCCCCCCCCCCCCCCCCCCCCCCCCCACCCCCCCCCCCCCCCCCCCCCCCCCCCCTCCCCCCCCACCCCCCCCCCCCCCCCCACCCCCCCACCCCCCCCCCCCCCCCCCCCCCCCCCCCCCCGCCACCCCCCCCCCCCCCCCCCCAAAAAAAAAAAAAAAAAATAAAAAAAAAATATAAAAAAATAAAAAAAATAAAAAATTAGTACCATCACCACGGCTTACCCCGACCGCTTTTGCCGTCAGGCACATTGCGGAGGATATAGCGACAATACCGAACACTCCCTACGGTTCCAGCTGGCAGCACGAGTATCGATGGGTGGTGAGCGAGCCGGTGGCCAGTGTGAGCGAGGAGGCAAAGGACCGGGAGAGAGCGAGACATGACAATGCGCATGTAGTGCGCGACAAAGAACCGCGCGCGTGATGCATGACAATACGTAGTGCGCTACAAAGAACGGCGCATGTGATGTATTCGCGCATGTGCGTGTATGGTCTCTATATATGCGCGTGTGTGTACGTGTACGTACGGACGCACATTGTCATTGAGCATGCGTATACCGACGTGCAATGCGTTTACTTACGCGTGCGCGTCACAGTGCGCCGAGGGTTTGCACTTCAGTGCTTTTCATTATTCCATAACTTGTCATATTCATCTGATTTTCTGATCATGTATATTATATACCACTGAACATTATCATCTGATCGCCCGACATTTATCATCTCGAGTAATCTCAATTTCTTCCTCATCTCTGACTGGCCTTGTTTCTGATGTGCATGCGCAGAAAAGAACTAACTGCACATACGTATATTGAAAGACGATACATGTGTATAGCTCACACCTCACGGGTCAACGAACGGCACTCCCACTCAAAAATTAATGATGTGGAGCACTAATGGCCTTAGCTATTCATACTCCCACAATGCTCATGGCAATTACCCGCTCCATCACTAATAGTACAGTCAACTGCGCTAGAAGGAGGGTCCGAAGTGACCGTTTGGCTGTAATCTGGAAAGTCTCCTGCGAAACGAAACTGCTGTGCTGTTTGAGAAGGATCTGGCTGGTATGGTTTCAGAGGAAAACCAGTTTCTTAATGCATGTTTTTCACTAGGAGTGCAAGTCTAGTGGGTACAGGGATCTCAGAAATGGCTCTGCTAGTTGCTCTAATTGTGACGGGTTTGTTTTATTGGAGGATAACAACCGTTGAAGGTAACATAATTATTATATTTCAATTCTAGCGGTTATGCTACTGACATAATTTTCTACCTAAAAAACGTAAAAGATTCTGTCATTTACAGGTGTGACATTTTCATTTCATGGCTCATCAATTAGAAATGACAACCAGGGGAGGATAAGCGTGTACGATTTTGAAGTTGTGGGTGAAAGCGATTTTAGCAGTGCTCTCAAGTGTACATCTGAAAAGACAATAGGATCTGTTCCTAGTCCTAGTGCTGGTAGAGGAACTCTTTATCAGGATAGAGATAATCCTCGATGCTGTTATGCTGGCCTAAATGATCTAGATCGTTTGGGGGGAATAACTCTAGGATGGAGTGGAAACACAGCTAATGAAGACAATCGTAGAGTGTACTACCTGAGCAGAAGGAGTCACAATCCCGAAGAAGGATACTTCACATGCTTTATACCAAATGACAATAGAAATCAAAGAGGTCTATACATCCTCTACCCCAGTGAGTTACCGTGAGAGAGAGAGAGAGAGAGAGAGAGAGATCAGTTCCATCCTCGGGCCCTGCAGTCACTGCAGTAACTGCAGCTATTGAGGTGGAGACAGGATCATCGACATTCAGAGTGAGGTGTACCTCCACTGGTGGGAGAGCTCTCAACATGACTGTCTCTGGACCTAATGGATACAACTATGACCTCAGAAACATAGAGCCGCTGGGTACTAGAAGGTACCTGGGCGGTGACAGCTACACTGCCACTACTGAAGTCATGTCCAATGGCAAGGATGGAGATGCATACAAATGCAATGTAACTAGTTTTTCATCAAACATTAGCACTGTAACTGTGAGAGGTAAGGATATGACACAATTATGTCCAACTTGATAAATGGTTTTATCTGCAGTTCTTGCTCCAATCATCACTTCACTGGAGCTAAGAGCTGCCACTAGTGTGAGGGTGCAGTGGACTAGACCAGAACTTTCAGTGACAGGATACATAGTTCACTACACTCTGGCTGGAGGAATTGGTAACGATGGAACTCAGACTGTCAGTGCAGGCTCTACTGGTACAGACATTACTGGACTTACTGGTGGACAGACTTACATCGTCACAGTAGAGGTCACCTCAAACTCTCCTAACATCCTACCTGGAATATCTGAGGGAAAGAATATTACCCTGCGTGAGTGTATACACCAGTTCTTTAGTGTGGTAGCTATTATGCTGCAAACTCTCCTCTCTCATAGCTCCTGGTATTCCTAAGGATGTGAAAACTAATTTTGACTCATCAGCCTCAGTGGCAGTATCCTGGCAGGCAGTGGATGATGCTGACAGCTATACTGTCACATTCTCACAAATGCAGGGAGCTGATCAGCAGGGACTATGTCCTACTGACTCTCATACTGCCACTCTGACAGTCAGTGCTCCCTCCACTACTGTCAGTATCGCTGTAGGAGGAGATGTGGCATCAACAGTGACTGATATGTTGAGAGCCTACACCACATACGAGGTGACTGTGGAGGCAGTCAGTGATGTTCGAGGTACCAGTCAACTCAGTGAGACCAGGAGAGTTCTAACACCACAGATGAGTAAGTATGTACACATTGTAGTCATCTTCGTATGTGTATGACATTGTATAGGTGCAGGAGAGGCTCTAGGCAATGTGAGAGCTAAGGCTGAGAGCTCCACTGAGATCTCTGTCCAGTGGAGTGGCCTCTCCAACTGTAGACTAGTCAATGGTCACATTGTCAGCTTCAGAGTTCAGTTTGCAACTGGCAGTACAGCTGACAAGGTCATGGGAGAAGGCAATGACGGTAACCAGTGGTGGTGGAGCGGAGGAGAGATCATACTGACTGGGCTGACTCCTCGTACCAAATACTCCATCTCAGTAGCTGCTGTGAATGAAAACGGAGACACGGGAGTGTACAGTGACCCGATAGAAATAACCACCCCAGACTGTAAGTTATTGCAGTAGTTTCGAATGCTTGTAATGCAAGTTCCAGCGCCAAATCTACAATGGGTATTAATTTTGGTGCTGGAACTTGAAGCTGTGTTCAGGTTATTTCAGTCCATTGATGTCCAAATTACCACTGTCTACTGTCCAGTATATACACTGGGTTACAGGTATATACTAGCATTATGCCACTTTCAACTATAGGCTAGGCTGTTAACATGGTTTCCTCTCTTTCTTCTCCAGCTGATAGTTCAGGGGACACTAACTCAACCCCCATAATAATTGCAGTGGTTATTGGTGTGATTGGTGCTGCAGTGGGCATCACAGGACTTATCGGTGGAACCATCATTGTCCATAGACGCAGGTAAAAATCGACCTGTGTGTGTGTATGTCATCATTCACTGCTATTCTTTCTATTTTAGAAAAGAGTCCAAGCCAAAAGATGTACATACAGAGGTCAACCCTGCGTATGGCCAATTTAAAAGACAGGCAGAAATTTGAAGAATAACTTTACGTAAAAAACCTTAAAACTTGTGTGCATAATACATACGTAGGTAGTTCTAGTTTTGCTCAATTCCTCGTGAGCATTAAGTCAGAGAGTGTTGAATTGAAAATATGTAGAAAGTAATAGCATCATATTTCCCCTTGGAGAACATTCTTGTTTTGCTTCAACTAGCATCTTCCCTAGTCATGACATTTACGTGAAGTAAAACACTATCAATAATCAAAAACATTATGTATATATATATAATCTGCACAACATAAAATGAGTAGCTCAAAAAACAACCATAAGTGATTTTTGAAAAACCATGGCTACATAATTATTAATATTTATGGCCTTCATTACCAATACTCTTTCAAAACTCCATACTGTCAATAAATTAGTCTCAATGCCAGAAGTATCTGAACGCCCTCCATGATAACCAGAGACCTCCAACATATGGTGCAACACGGACCACACGAAACAGAAACGACACGAGTGAATCTGCTCTGGTCACTGCTCTCAATATCTCCTGTATGTATGTATGCGTGGTTCAGAGAAAGTGAACACAATTGCTACCAGCAAAAGAGTCCACTCACCCAACCCCCAGTGATGACCAGCCAGCTCATGAACCCGATACGGAACAGGTAAGACACCACACTCGGTAGGAGCTGTTTCATGAAAGGCAGGATCCGTTCGTTTCCGTATCGCTGATAGTACTTCTTCACCACAGAGTAGGTCAGGTAGAACGCTACCATAACACGTCCACTGTTGAACCTTCCTGCAAGATTTACGACGAATCAAAAAGAGACAACTACAGTGGAAACTCCGAACAAGGGACACAATAGGGCCAACGATTTATGTCTCGGAGATCAAAATAGTTTAGCATGGGGCTGAAATAAGCGTCCTTTGTAGGGTGATTGTCCTTATCTTGGAGGGTCCCTTATCGGAGCTTTCACTTTTTAGTCCAAAGAGGAGCATGGTATTCTGCATCTGTCTCAAGTGCATGTGTATAGGAAGAAGGTTGAGCTACAAAATGCTCCCACAAATGGAAGTGAAACAATATTGACAGGTGTATAGTTGAGCTTACTCTGTCTACTTAGCATGATTCACAACTTGTGCCCTCCCCCTACTCTACCTACATATGTATATAACCTTGTCCTTCAGTGACATCAAAGACACCGTCCAGCTCATTCTGTAGACTCATGATGGCCTGCGAGGGGTCCTCCTCCACCACAGAGTCAGTGTATTCCTCCACCTGTTGATGAAGCTGGTCTGCGAACCCACGGACCACTTCTCCGAACACCGCACCGTAGCTGGCCCCCTCCCCTCCCTCCCCGTCCGTCGTGAACTGTAAATTGGCTCGATCTTCTTCGCTCAACCTGTCACACAGAAAGAAACAGCACGTAATAAACTGTTGTTGATGAATCATGTGACTGTGTATATACCATCCAAGGCATTTTTGTTTTTTTATGACTCGTTAGTACATAGCTATACACATGCATGTGCATGTGTAAAAAAGTAAAAAAGGCCTCTGCCTGGTTTTTGTGCACACGGTCATACAACAATATGTGCCATAGTTACTCGTTCGCGGAGGCAGGATCATGGCGAGCCAGGGCGCTGATGCTGCTGACACAGGCAGCTCCTGTAGAACGAGCCGTCTCTGCCGGCGTCGCTCCTCCCTCATCTCCAGTTGATACTTGTCCCAGCGCCAGGCTCAGGTTGATGGTGACAGGGACTTGCGTACTCACCTGCCTAACTACCAACTGGACTTCGGCCATATCACTGTCTTACCCTGGCGTCAGCTCTGGCGTACAAAGCGAAACTACTCAACTCTCTCTACTACACAGTTTCTCTTTTTCCCAGACCCCCCCGCCCACATGCGGACGACAAAGAGATAGTGCGCTCCAATTGGGAATAATAAGCCCAACCCTGTCTCAAAAACCACTTCTGTTGTAGAATGATGTCTGTGACTGTTTCCATCCCTCTCAGGCAGGCGGGCGGTCGAGGAACCCTAGAGCTTCGCCTTGAGCTGGGCGAAGATGGGGCAAGCGTGAGCGCCGTCCAGCAACGCAGCACCGCCGCCGCGCTACTCGGTTTCATGGACGAAAAGGCTAGAAGCGACCAGGAATTGAGCGAGGAGAGCTCCCAACATCTCCGCTACAGGCAGGACGAAGCGTCGGGCTTGGCGGGAGAGGAGGAGAGGGAAAGCGTCAGGGCTGCTGAGATGATGGGGCGGCGCATGCGAGACGTGGGTGACGAGTTTATGGCGCAGATGTATCGGGACTCGCGCACCAGCTCGTTCATAGACGATATCGTTAGAGTGGAGGCGAACAACGCTTCAGCGGTGCGTACGGCCTTCACCCACTTCTGTGAGGTTGTGAACATCATTCTTCAGTGTGATGAGTCTGGAGCAGGTATGTGTAGTACAGATCTTAGGCCTGTAACACTGGGTGGTTTGAAGGTGAAATGTAGTTGAGTGTTAGTCTTGGTGCATGTTATATGTGTGTAATTTTTAACATGGGCATACTTGTCCCTGCCTGAATTCCCTATAAGGAAAGCAAAGTGGGTGTTAATTAGGGAGTGACTCAGCCCTCAGCTGGCAAATGAAAAGGTGGCAAATGAAAAGCGACTGAAGTGCAAACCCTCAGCGTATTACCATGCGCTGCACCGCTAATTGTATGCGCGGAGGGTTAATAGTCTATGCTCCTCATTGCTGGGGTAACATAATACCAAGGCATGAAAATATGCACACATTATGTGCTCTATTACACTGTATGTACTCCCCCAGCCCAGATGATAACCGTAGGGCGTGTAGCTGCCCTTTTCTCCTACTGCTACCATCTCTGTAAAGTCTTTGTTTTCAAAAGAGGAATCATGGTCAGTCTTTAGAGTGAATGCAGTTTATTTTTTGGCAAATAAACACTTTTTAGCACGTGATTTATACGTAATTCATACGCCCTGTGAATAGTCATACTGAAAACCTACTGTGTGTGTCTCGTTAATGTAGGGTGTGGTGAGGTTTTTGGGACAGCTCATGGGTTACCTCATTCGGTGTTTGCACAGAAGCAACTTCTACGAATTGCTGACCTCTCAAGGTGGATGGGTGAGTTGATAAAAAAAACGTAGGCTATTTTGCACAGCCACTGCACTGCTTGCTCCAGCTAATATGAAGGTTTTCGGGATGGTTGGTTGGCCTGTCCTTCCCACCACTTGCTTGCTAAAAGTACGAAAAGGTTAAGCCACCCTATTTCACACAGTCACTCCTGCTGAGGATTATTTTCACTGCACACTCCAGCTAAAGTCAAGGTATTCAGGATGGTTGGTTGGCCTGTCCTTCCCACCACTTGCTTGCTAAAAGTACGAAAGGTCACCCTGTTTTTCATAGTCATGTGTGTGGATTATTGCACTGCACACTCCAGCTATACCAAAAGCACTCAGGATTGTGTGCTGGCCTGTCCTTCCCCCCACTTGCTTGTTAAAAGTACGAAAAGTTTGGCCAACCAAATTTCACTGAACGTGTTGAAGTTGAAGTACACATGCTTGTATATAGTCTATTAACCAATGAGGGATGACTGCGTATTACCCATATTGCTCCTCCACAGGGTCAGCTGTTGAAACAGACATCGCCTCCTTACCTCATACTCCCTGTCGTCATTGGTGCGGTCCTTATACTGAGCTCTATGGCCTATAAATACCTCGGCAACGACCACTGATCATGTACCACTGTGCACAATTTGATGCGGGACACGATAACTGTATCGTTTTTGTGTTCGACATACGTCTCTTTCTGTGGTGTGTAATTGAAGTCCACGTCCACGACACTTAACCAAAACCCATCAATGTCCCCATTTAGGGCCATGCAACACAACATTTTATATAGTGCTCTGATTTTTTTGTTGACATTCGGCTGTCTCTCTCTGTTGTAAAAATATGCGTCTCAGAATTTTAAACCTTTACACATTGGAACCCCTTGAAGCGTGTTAAGTGTTAATTTTTGCACTTCTGAGCGCAGAATTTGATTGACTTGGAGGAGATAAGAGAACATCAAATGCTATGTTTATAAACAATATGTTATTTTATAGCTAGGATAAAAGCATTGGGTATTAAAATGGGTGTTGTTGTTGTTGTTGTTTATAATATGCTAATAATATGACAGTGAGAGGATAAGAAGAATCAAAAAAACTGATGCATTAAGTGGTAACGGCCGCGCCTGGATGGACTTGTTTCATGTGTCTCCACAAGTTACCGGATTGAGAAAAAGAAGCCCCGCACTCTCGACATTGATATGGCCGTTCGCCCGTGTGTGTCCTCCGGTGTTTCGCGAGCGTCGAGCTGTCACTAAAACCTCTCGAGCAGTAGGGACACTGATAAGGACGCTCGCCAGAGTGCGTGCGGATGTGAATGTTGAGGGAGCTACGCTGCGAAAAGCTCTTGTTGCAGACGATGCAACTATAGGGCTTCTCGCCGCTGTGCGAACGAAGATGGACGGTGAGACTGTGCGACTGGAAGAAGCCCTTGTTGCAGATGTGGCAGACGTGCGGCTTCTGCTTGTTGTGCATGCATTGCTGGTGACCGCTCAGAGCGGCCTGGGAGGAGAGATAGCGCCCGCATTCGTCGCAGCGGAACCGTCGTCCGACACTCTGAGAGGAATCGGGGTCCATTCCGGTACCGGTCTCGGACACACCCTCCCCACTTTCCTTGTTCCCGACATACTGCAGCAGTTGGTTGAAGGGGATCCCGCTGCTTGATATCGCCATGGCGTTTGGGAGACTCGCCGAGTCTTGGCTCGTTCCCATGGACGGCTCCTGTAAAGAACCCTCGGTTTTTACGGGTAGGTTGCTGGGAGACGATCCCTGTGGTGGTTCGGCTGTGTCGATGCCTTCTTCAGTTTCGCTCGTCGAGTCGCTGGAATGCTCGGAGCCGGCTGACGAAGAACTGCAGCCATCTTCTCCCTTGCGTTTTGGTGCTCTACCTGTTCCTTCGCTGTCCATCTCCCCCTCTCTCCCCTCCCCCTCCCCCTCCTCGGTCTTTTCCTCTTCTCTCTGCCCGTGCCCGCCATTTTCCCGCGGTTCCTGAGGCTCAGTATTGCCGTCTTCGCTGTATCTCCCTTCGCCTGATTCAGATTCTCTCACGATGGCTTTCCTCCTGTGCATCTGTAGCAAGAACAGGTTGCGAATAGATCACAGGTGTGTAATAATTAAGGGGCTTAGGGGAGAGTGGAAAACTATCGTTTTAATACTAGGACCGGTGAGGAGACAATGTGTGTAACCAGTTCAATATTCTAACTGTAGCTGCAGTGTGTGCCCTTGCCCACAGGCCTAGTTAATGTGGTATGAACTGTGCACGACAGTTAAAAAAGCAGCAATGTACCTTCATATGGAGTCGCAAGTGGCGTGTGTAGGCTGCGGGTGATTCCAATGATTGGTTGCAGATCTGGCACTCTATCAGCTTGGACATCTTCGCCGGAGGCTCCTGTAATACTGGTGGTGGGTGTGCCAGTTCCGTCGGTTGCTCCACTCCCTCTCCCATGTGCGTGTGCATGTGACGTTTGAGTGAAGAGGCCCACATGTACCCGTTGCCACAGATACCACAGACGTGATTGAGCGATTTCATTTGCGCAGTGTGTCGACCTGTTGTGGGGTCAAACAGTATCGAACCCTCCATCCCCATCCCCGATACAGTTCCAAGTGAGGGCGACGAAGTAGCTGCTGGGTTTGGAACCGAGACGGCCGGGTTTGGAATGGAGACGATGGGGTTCTCGTATGCCTTTCCGTGTCCGGGAGCGAGAGTAAAGATAGGCGATGCCGAAGCGGTGACGGGTAGTGTAGGATTCATGGCAGAGAGCCCGCGCTGAGTGGCAGTGAACAGAGGTGACGCGGGCTGCCCAGGTTGGAGTAACGTAGCAATACCCTGAGAAGTGATTCCGACTGGTTTTTTGTCGAGGGAGGCCGGAGATAGTATAGTGGTGGCTGGTGAGGATCCTGGGATGGACGAGGAATAAGGAGGGGAAGAGAGAGAGGCAAGTTTGTGGCGTGTGCCACTCGCGTTTACCATGACGTAGTTGGGAACGAGAACGAGGGAGTTGTTTGGTCCTCCCTGCATTACCATGTACCCATCTTGAGTCAGAGAGGGTTTGCGCTCTGGCACGGAAACAGGAGGTTTGATGTCACCGGTTGGTTTCCCCTGCTGGAATATTACTTGGGGATGCTGGATTACGTGTTTTGCACCCGGTAGTGTGCCTGGTTGTATGACTTGTGGGTGGATGATTTGAATCTGTTGATTTCCGGGATGCTGGACAACTGATACTGCTGCAAACCGTCCCATGCTGATACCGGACGCCCCATTTCCGGATGGGACAGCCTGTGGGTGGATTATCTGCACTGCAGTTGGCTGAGAACTGTGTGTGTTTGAGTGAGATAAGAGAGTTGGCGACGGCATCTGTTTTGCTTCCGTGCCAACCCCAGGGACCGGTTTGAACTGCACCACCTGAGCACCGGCCATCGTTAATTGGTCCTGTAACGACAAGGGAGTCCCCGTTTGTCCCGCCGTGGCAGAAGGGGGAGACGGAGGCAGAAGACTCATCGTACCGCTCCTTGTCTGGCTGGCCGAACTAGAAGTGGGTGAGCTTTCAGCCGAAGTTGCCAACGTAGACCCAAACGACGCCAGGTTTGAAACTCCAGCAGACTGCAAGTGTGTTCCGTTGATCGACAGCAACTCGACGTGATTCTCCTGAAGAAATTCAGAGTCGAGCGACCCGACAAGAGACTGGAGGGCTCTGGAAGGGACGCACCAGTGGAGAAGACCCTGTTCCCATTCTACTTGGAGGAGACGAATACCGTAGCTCGTGAGCAGCGCCTTTTGCACCATCGACTGGCGTAGCTGCTCGATGTCCTCCAACGTACTTCTGTGCCACTCGCGTCCGAGCTTGATGGTGAGGATTGAAAACTCGAGCGGAAGGGACGAATCGAGCGTACACGCCTTTGTGAAATCGCTGACTTTCGTCCGCGACCGAAACGCTCTCAGTTTCTCGATGTAAGCGACCAGCTTTGTCTGTATGTGTTGAGATCCAAAGAGTCTTACTAGATGTTCGAGGAGCGAAGAATCGGGAAAATCGCAGATTCGCTTGAACATTGAAAAGACGCTCGAAAACGACGGAGCGGACGAAATCTCCATTTGTTGTTTCCACCCGAAAAGCGGGATCTGCTCGACTCGTGTCGAAGCCGGTAAAAAAGCGATAGCGTTGCGAATGGTGGGCAGATACTCGGTGTTGTCCCTGTGTTTTTCCTCGAGGTACTGCTGGGTTTCGTTTCTGAGACTCTCCAGGTCTTTTTGTAGCTTCTCTGCTTCTAATGTTATCGAGGACACCCTGTCTGGCATTGCAGGAAGAGAGTTGTCCTTTTGGGAGACGAGGATTAGTTGTGGTATGGTAGCCATGGCCTGTAAGGAGAGAGAGAGGAGGAGGAGGAAGAGAGGGAGGAGAGAGAGAGAGAATAAAGCCCTGAAGATAGTTTCGCACTGAATTTTTAAAACCTCTTTATTTGGTACAAGGAGGTACAGTTTGGAAATCTAAAAGCTAAATAAAACGTGCAAGGAAAGAAAAACGAGAGAAAAAGGAGATGAATGGTAGGAAGAATAGAGAGTGTTCAAAGCTGGAAGAGGCGGGATAAAGGAAGCGACTGCTTAGATCAAAGCAACCCTTTGTGGTCATTCAAAATGAATGCCACTGTGTGATTAGCTAAAGAGAGCCACGGGCAAAGAAACCATTGCACACAGTGGCACGCACAATGGCCCAGATTGTTGGTTGCCATTCAGGTGACAGGGTTCTGTAGTGAACCCTATGAATGAAAGAGGGAGGGACAGAGAGAGACTGAGATAAGTAGACAAGAGATCAGCAGTGTCTGGCTGCCTTTCACGCTGCCACCCACAATTGCTTTACACACCCACACGTGCAGGCATACCCAGCCATACACACAGTCAAACGTTACTCATTCTACTGTCTGTGGGTATTTCCTATTGAATATGCCATCTTTCCCCTCTTTCTAGCTCCTTTCGTATTCCCTCTCTCCTTCTTTCCCCTTGTGCATTATTTCTCCCCGCCTCCTCCTTCCTTCTACCTCTCCTCCCTCCCAAAAATGACAGAAGAAAACACGAGTGAAGTGGTGCATGAATTCTCACTATAGACCTCCATGTCCAGTTTTCACAGAGCGGACTCTTCTGAACAGCATGGGAGTGTTTTGACAAAATGGGTGTACTTTTCGGAGGCTATCGCCTAAATAGATTTCAAGGTGCGACGAATCTATATAGATTTCAACCAGCGATGTATATAGCCATCCATTACTGTAATGACCCGTCGAACGGTGCAAGTACGCATTATACACCTTGCTTCACCAACCGTTCATGCTATAATATTATTTTCTTTTGTATGGTGGCAGAGTGATT